CCTTTGCCTCGACCACTTTGCATTCCATTAAAAGTATATACATGTACACCACACAGCACTTCTTACGTGCCCTAAACGTGTCTTTGACATGCTGTCCTTAAAAAAGTTCGAATCAAATATTTTACTGTTGCTGCAGTAGACAGTACATATGGATATATAATTTCAAACGAAAAAATGACACTACAGTACCCTATACTGTCTTGCACTTCCGCTAAGGAATTATCTTAAAATATTTTGTCTTCTTCGGAAATTTATTTATAATTACAATAGCGAACATGGCGAGGCCACATATTAAATACCCAACTGCTAATATCACAAATACCAATGAGTAGGAGTTCTGCCAGTCGTATATAGCACCTGAAATGATAAAAATGTGGATCTTTCTAATAACCTACATCAACGATTTGACATGCATTCTGATGCAAAGCATTATCATAATACGTAATGTGATAAGAAATAATGAGCACTGAAAAGCACAGAGTTGCTCTGTTGTTTAATTCCTGTATTTTACATCTCTTCTTTTTATAAATGATTACCCTAATCGAACAGTTAACTTATCCTGACAGTTTTTTTCACAAGAAATAGAAATAAAATTTAAGATAACTGCTTCTTATGTTTAATTTTATACCTGAGAGATACGGTGCTACCGCCATTCCTGTGCTTGTTCCACCAAGAAAGAGTGTATATAGATTTTGCACGTGTTGTCCAGACATGACTTCTGAACATGAGGCATAAACAGCAGAAAATATTGGACCCTGACCGAAACCTAGAACTGTTATTAAAACGAAAACGTTGTATTAGCGTTGAACTGGAGAAGCCACTATATGAATCAGAGAGATGTGTGGAGAGGAGGGAAAGGACAGAAAAAATCCTTCTTCTATCAATTTGAATTTCCATCCCCAATTCTGACTGAGGCATACCAAATTTAGACGGCCTGTAATGTCAATTTTGTCAGTATTACTTTTTTCCTTTCTTAGGAAGGCAAGCTATTCACATTTTATCACATTAAATTAATCATTATTTCAAGTTCAAACACATCCACTATGAAATCAATTCCACTGTACCTATACTATACGGTATAAATGATGTAGGTGACGTGGCAGCATATCCCAAGAGCATGTTTGCCGCTAAGATTAACGCCAAAACTGCGTGTATCTTCAATATATGTCCCTTCACACGGTCCCCAACTAGGGTTGTAGCTAAACGACTGAAGAAATTGCAAACTGCCTCTGTCGTCATGAATCGAACTGCGATATAGGACGGTAAACCCATATCAGCTAAGTGCTTCATCTGTGTAAAAATCAAACATAATTGTTATCTTAATTGAACATATATACAGATACGTACACATTTTGTAAAACCAATATATTGCAACAAAACAAGTTCAGTCACCTTCTTATTTATTTTTCATTTGATGTTCAAATGCACGTTGCAACAAAAATAGAGCAAACGGAAAACACGCAAGCATTGAAATTATATACGAAATATATATATACAGTGTAACTATTCACTCCAATAAAATTATTTTGAATAGTATACCTTTAATACTATTTATTTTGTGTTTGAAAGTTTCTATAGAAGTAATTCGTTAATACCAAAATAAAAGGGGGATACTATGTTTGACAAAAGAAGTTTAGCCCACTAATTGTTTATAATTACTGTTTAAAGTTTTAAGCATCTTTACCAAAATTCCAGTTGAGTTGCTATGTCCGATTCCGTTTGCAACATTACATAGAAACCACATTGACAGTATGCAAACTTGCTGACCACTTCCAAAAACTTTCTCGTCTGCTTCTTGGTGTTCTGGTTCTGCCTTAGTACCAGGGCTTTGGAACCACCCAAGGGGTAATAACACTTGAAAATACGTGTCATTTTAAAATTGCAAAATTTTTTTATTAATAAATCTAAATGCAACATAAGTTAGACGATCGTAATACTTGGTATACAATATTAAAATCGACGGAGAAAAAAATCAAATATTTGTTTCATAAAGAAAAATATTTTGCCTAGAGACCAAATATGTCAGTAGGCCTACTATATAGCATTGCTAAAATACAGGTAGTTTTCGTATTCTTTTAATTGAAATGGACAAACATGTGACCGTGTTTTCTTTGTTGTAGCAAACTTACCAGAAACAAGAAAAATACCGGCGAGTACAAGGTAGCCATATCTCCAGCCTAGCGTCCGGAACAGCCATTCAATAAGGTTAGCATAGAGGACTGTGCCTATTAAAATTGGGATGTCGTTTATATCGCTAAAGCCTCTTATGTTGAATTTAAAGGCTATTCTTTTAAAGGTTTATTTATACGCCTCATGGGACAAAGTACGTAAATTTAGAAACACCTTGTGTGAGATTAAAATACTGTTATAGTGGAGAAATTTTCACAACCACAACTTATCATAACCGCAAAATGCTACCGTGACTGAATATGTTTTGTCTTTAGATAAAGATGTTTCACTATGTATTAGCGATGTTGACAGGTATGTTTTGTAACTTTGATATGGTATTACAAATGTGTTATTTATTAAAACATTTAAGCAAAATTTATAAACGGCAAATAAAATGGAATTACTTGCCAGCAGCCATAACAAGTCGGCTAAAACTTGTGGCCAAAACATGGTATCTGTGATCCCAAGGAAACCATTCCGCTATCCTGAAGGTGTAGTCCAGTCTAATGATAGTAATGGAAAATCCAGTCATGATGCCGTGTGTAAATATAAGAAATGTCGCAGTTGGCGCCATGGATGACAGAACTAATCCGAGGACTAATACGGACAAAAACGTTATGACTCTAATTTCTGGTTGGATCACTGAAATATTTTTGGCAACCAAGCATCCAAAAGCAGCAGAGATGAACAGCATGCTTTGAATGAGACCTGGAATCATGAAGAAAAAAAAGATTGACGATTTGTTAAAAATAATGTGTTTGTCTATTCCACCGCTTCTTTTCATGCACTGCTCATCGTATTAAAAAATCCAAATACATACATGTACAGGGTATCAAAGTTTAACTATAATGTCTCGTAGACAAAAATATTTACTATGCGCCTTTTTGACCATTAACTCACTGAGCAAAACGTTCACCAGTTTCTTTGGTTGACCTAGCGGTGACAACTATTCTAATTAGCCTGAGACCAGGTTGGCCGTTTACCTCATGGTAAGTATACCTAGGCATGGTATTGGTACTTAATGCACGGAAGGCCGAAAACTGAGGTAAGCAGGCCATAAGCTAACAACGGTGAGGTGCATTTACATGTACTCTAGCTTGTGTTCATTAATTTTAATATTAATATTGTCTTTACCTATTGTCGCAAGACTTCCACCTAAAACAGAATCCTCAGCAAAAGCGGCGTTAAACACACTCCAACTCATAAGATATCCATTACAAGTCATAAAACACATGACCGAAACAAATACGAACTTCCATCCTTGATACATAGTAGATATGGGATTTTCTTTTACACAGTAGCTATGCAAAGTACGACGTCGCTTGCAGGCGTACGCGCTGACGCACCGTGTGTTCAATTTTGCCCCAAAAAGTGTTGTTTAATGTTCAGGTATCTCTCAATGTGTGTTTTTCACATTTCAAGAAATGGTTGAACGATGGTATGGGGCTGAAAACGCACTAGGAGGACATTTTAATGTCCTTAAAAGTACAACTAAAATCACGTGTGTATGATTAGCATATCACGCCAAGTATCACGGCGTCATTAGAGTTCAACTCCACTCGATTAATGGGGACATTATCTTTGCACGTATAATCATATTATTAATTGAAGGTCCCATTTAGAATCATCTCCTCATATCGTCACAAACAATTTCACATGCTGATACTATCAGGAAAAAAAACGCGTTTTAGCCTACACACAGCTGAAGTAAAGGTCACTTTGTTGATTTAAAGTGAAAACCGTAAGATTTTCCAACGAAAACGGTGTTTTTGTCCTGCTAATCAACTCCTTACCTGACACTCACTACAACCCTGTTACAATCTTTGATCCCATTCCCATATGCGGGGATTCTCGCTGACTGCAATCAATTTAACTGAATGACATGACTTTTATTTCAATCGCACTCGTATAATCACAATCTTTTCTGTATTCCAGGAGGAGGCGTGTCATTCTATTTAGCTGAGTTGGGGCGATCCCCAATGACCGATTGTGGCTATGGGAATGGAGTTTTAAGCTCGCTTATCTGTCTGCCAAAGCCTCTCATACGCCTCCCCACGCGTCGTCCCTGCAGGGTACAGTAATTAAATCTCGGCTCAATTCAACTGGTCGAGATTCAACGCCTGGGGAGGCGTGTGAGAGGCGGAGAGACCATAACAGGATTAAGCGGTCTTCCTTTCCTGTATGTCCGCCATATTTAGGTCGCGGCCTTGCTAGCAATCGGCTCTTTTCGATCTGAATGGTCCTTAAACTGTTCCAAAAGGACCAAGAGTCATGCTTTTTACTTTCGACTTACGGATAATTGTGTGGTTAGCGATCTTTAATACATATACCTTTTTGACCATTAACTCATTGAGCAAACCGTTCACCAGCTCCTTTCATTGACCTAGCAGTGACAACTATTCACATTAGTCTGAGCCAGGTTGGCCGTTTACCTCATGGTAAAGATGCCTTGGCATGGTATTGCTACCTATTGTACGGAAGGCCAAAAACTGTGGTACGTTTGTCGTAAGCTAACAACGGTAAGACTGATTAACATGTACTCTAGCTTGTGTTTATTAACTTAAATATTGTCTTTACTTATTGTCGCAAGACTTCCCCCTATGGCTGTATCCTCGGCAAAAGTGGCGTTAAACACACTCCAACTCATAAGATATCCATTAAAAGTCATAAAACACATGACCGAAACAAATACGAACTTCCATCCTTGATACATCGTAGACGTGAGAGATTCTTTTACACAGTAGCTATGCAAAGTTCAATGTCTTTTGCNTGAAGTATCTTAACATACGTATTTATTTTGAAAACGAATTGAACAAAATTTTGCAGGAGAGTACAGTGATGGTAGAGCACACTGTCAATATGCGTCGTTTCTGTGAGACAGAGGAAGGGAAGAATGCACTGGGTATGTTATTTTCATTGGCCATTATGCCTGTGACCCTGTCCCCCACCAAGGACAGTCCTGAGGATCTCTGGAATGCTGCTCAGCGTACAAGTTGTCAGCTACACACAGCCTTTGATAAGGGTGAAATGCTTAAGCAACTACGTGTGACAAATTATACTGTGTCAAGGATGAAGACTGATGCTACTCTGAAAACCACCCTGGAAAAATGTAAGTACATTTTCTACAACACAAATGCTCAGATTTCATATCTTAACTATGCAGTATATTGGGAAAAAATGTACAGAAATTTGATTTTTGCCAAATTTTTAGCCCAACACCAGTTTATTAAAACTTGGGTTAAAATATATACATTGGTGTAGTCATTTTTTAAAATTTTAAACAGTTTTATTTCTATAATAAAGATAAACAAATATACAAAATAAATAAATTCAAAAGCAGGCAGCAAATCTCCTCAGCATTATGTGCTAGCCTGTGTTATTTTAACTAATGATAAATAAAAGATAAATAAGTAGTCAGGACTTAGACATTTGATTTATTGTTGTGTAGATGCATGGTAATTAACAAAGGTTTGCGACAGACTTTTGAGTATTCAAAAAAATTGTACAGCTAAATTCAAATTTGTGGTACATGTAATTAGCAAAGGAAAGACCTTAACACAGTCTTTGCCTCAGATCATCATTGAAATGGAATGTTTGTTTATATTTTTTGGCAAAGTAAATTCCGTGGATGTGTGTTTTGAAATATCAGTCAGATAGTTTGTGAATTAATTTATCCAAATGATTTTTAGGTAACTTTGATCAATTTCTATTATTTTGTCTAGCTGTACAGCAAAGGTGCTTTGGCATTTCAAACCTGGGTGACTGTTCTGGAATTTTGTCAGGTAAGATGAGTGCTGTGTATTGTATTGGGTTTAATAGATGTTTGTTAATACCTGATAGGTTTAAGTTTTTTAGTACACATCACTGGGTTCCATATCGTTATAAATTAGGGCTAATTCCCGTTGAATCTCCACAATCAGTTTTACCGATCAACATGCCTCCTCCTGGTAAAATGAAAAGGAAGTTAGCTTTTGTCCTGGTTTTAGAGTCAGAAAACTACCGTCAGTTATTTAAACTAAATAATATAACATACCCTGCAATCTGGTGACCAGTCAAAAAGAAAGCAAAAACAAAAAAAAAAAAAATATATATATATATATATATATATCAATTTGCAACCAAAGATAAAAGATTTCTTTGGTTTTAGGAGGAGGGAAACATGTGCAGGTGACAGATATCGCTAGAGCAGTAAACCTCCAAGAAGGACAAACAGTTTTGCATTATGTTCACACCTACCAAGGCAGACTGCGGTACAACTTGACATACAATGGGAAGAGGTTCACCCCAGAAAAAGCAAGTCAGTATGCCAGTTGGACGCTGGAATTATTACGGTCCCTTATTACTGACATGGACGGTACCAAAGTTTAAATCTGTTCTTGAAATGAAAGGAATGCTTGATTGACCAATATTGACCAATTTAATTATACATGGTCAAAAATGAAAAACATATACACCGTAAATATTTGAAGACAATACAGTTTAAATTTTGAGTTATCAATATGTGTGTAAGAAACCATACCCAAAATTAATGATCCCATTATTATTAAAGGCTTATTTGTCATAAGCATCTGGAGTTTGGCTCCATCTTAGCCCATTATAGTCAAGATGTTCATTTGCTAGATTGAACATTCAGTTCATTGGCATCCCCATGTGAAAAAACCTGTTATAGATACATGAAAGCATGTTGACACCTTTTTGTATGAACTGAAATGATTTTTAATGTGCTTAAAGGTACGAACCGAGCATCGGTGGAGCGTGGATTCCCAGTAACACATGTAAACCACTTCTACTATTTTCTAATACGACTCAAATAAATTCGACATGCCAAGGGATAAACTGAATAGATCACTCTATCAGCCATAAAAGACCTTTAGACTGCTCTTTTCTTTAAATTTTTGGTTGGAAATTTAACCTACTTTCGTGACCTACTTTTATGCCCCATTGACATACACCTTAGAATGCCAGCAGAAAATTCCGTTCAAACATCATTTTCGGGTAAAATTAAACAATGCCTTTTGGCAATTCTCTTAGTTATACTACTTGAAACTATATGCTGGTATTTGGTTGATTTTTGTGACAAAAAATTGACTTTGTATGCATCTTTAATTTTTATCATCGGTATGACCATTGCAGTCAACAAAATTTAGTTAATATTACATGTGTCAAGGGTCCATGCCCTCTTGTTGCATTGGATTTTTTTTTAATAGATAGGTTCTCTATGATTTTATTCCTTTATTGCACATAAAAAATGTTATCTCTGGTATTCAGATTTTCATTGAAAATATGTCGTAACAATGTACTCCTATGGCATGTTTTTAATGTTAACTGTCTGGTATTTTCCTCAGAGAATTTGGGGGATTTTTATAACTTTTCAGGTGTGCATTTACATTGTGAAAATAATTTAGATTCATCTGTATGAGATAAATTATTGACTACCATTTTAGCCTCACAAATTTTTCTTAAGAAGTGATTATGTATGATGGAATATATTTCTTAAATGAAAAAATGTAAAATATTCTCAATTGTTATTAAGGGCTGGGATTTATTCACATTCAGGAAGAAATAATCACATTAAGAGTATAACATGATAAAAATACAGATATTTTGCTTAATTAGGATGCAGTCTTATATTATAGTGAGATGAATGAAGTCAAAGTGTATCCCATCATACTGCTTTGGACAAAAATGAAATGAATGAAATGTATATTGATTATTGTAGGTATTTGTTGAGAAAAAAAATTGGAAGTTTAGTGACTCTTGAAACTTTTGTAATGAAAGTTTTCCTTGGTGCATTTCCAAATTTATTGGGATTCTTCATATTTAACTTTAAATGCACTTCTACCATACGGTTCATTTCTCATTATCATTAATTATGAAATAAATTAATTAACTTAATTATTATTAGTTATGCATTAATTAGTTAGTTAAATGTCTATTATTAATGAATCAGTTGGCCCAATTCTCATTATCAATCAGCTGGTAAATAAATAAATTAATTATGAAAATACCACTAAAATCTTGCCCATTTGGGCCCTATCCTGAGAATTTTATCAAAATGCCAGTAGAACCTTCTGCATAATGTTGGTAATCAGTAACCAACTTTATTGATTAGATTTAATCGTTTAAGCTAGAAAGTGTCTCCATATCAGTGTGTGGCACATACCAGTAAAGTTACAGCTGTTTTGACTTACATAGGAAAATTAAAACAACAAAAATGATCACTTTCAAGAGAAAATCAGTTTTAGTACCAACGCAATTTTATCTTCTGTCATTCTGTCATTTAGTTTTTGCAATACTCAATTATGAACTGCTGCCCAGGTATTTAAAATATGCTGTCACAAAAATTCTGGTAATCAACTCTGTAAAATTTAGACACTGAAAAAATTCAAAATTTAAATTAAAATGCAAATTGCGTTGCGAGATGATACCTTCTTTGTTTTGCAGCGGCAATTCAAACTTGGCGTCGAAAGACAAAAGCATGGTTTGTGACAAAAAATTCAGCTATAAGACCTTCTGCTTATGGATTACTACCATTTTATATAGAGTGACAAGCCATAACCCTATTCATTCGACTTCCGTTCCTGGTGGGGTCGTTTGTGCCCCAGGCGCATATTTGTCAGCGTGTTTTTTTCTATTATACATTATTTTTTTCATGAAATTTCATGAATTTGTCACATGTTTACATTTCTATCATTATGATGTGTTCGCAGCTTTGGTATAGTGCAAGGTTATTATAAATATCCTAAAATAAAGCTGGAGTTGTAAACGACCCTTCTAGATTTACATTAGTTGTGCACAGTCTTTTATTTTGCAAATTCTACCGAAATTATTTCTTACACTAAAATAGCAATGAAATACTTGATGTTTCAAATTCCTGCTTTAATTTGTTTATTTTTTGCGTTTTTTATAAAAAACATTTCAGCATTGGTTCTGTTTTATCAAATAAAATAAGATGCACAGTGCAAGTCTTGTTTTAAATATATCATTAGAATTACCCGGCAAACACAGAACGTTTTATAACGTTACCATAACGTTTTTTTTTGGTAAAATTAACGTTATGGTAACGTTGTAACGTTATAATAACAGTATGTGTTTGCTGGGTAGGCCTAGAAACGAAGAAAATAAAAAAAAGGATAGATTACTTTGCATCCATTTTCTGTTCAAACTTTGATAAAGCTTTTCTGACATACACTAACGCGTACTCACTCGGTTTATTTTTGGTCTGTCAAATAATTTTGTATTGTTACACTGATCATTTTAGGTGGCTGCATAAAACTAGCAGATTAGAAATGCTTCAATAATTAAAACATACGAACTTCACGGAAGTTAATTCTTTTTTCTATTTCTTCCCCTCAAAATATAAGGAGTATTAAATCGGGAATCGGGGAATGCGTAGGCTACCATTGCCTGTTACGTTGTCATGAACCTTTTTATACATATGGAATGAATGTCCTAAACTTTTTTGTACGCTTAATTCAAACGTGGGCTCGAAATAGGGACATTGCGTTTTCGACTTACTTAACGGATAACGCTATCTAAACATTTCACGGTTGGTGTCAGATTTACGTAAAAAAAACCCAAGTCCCCATAATGACCAGTTAAACGACTTATTCGTCGACGCTCAGTATCTACATACTGTAAGTGAAGTCTCCAACTCTTAACTCTCCGAAACCGCATCTGCTCCGTACTCCGTGGATCGCTCCCAATCTCCTTCTCTCTTTCTCCCTCTGTCTCCTAAGTCTGTTTTATATGGTTTCTTGTCTTAGACGAAGCAAGAAAAACAATGATATTGAGGATTTCATTTAATCTTAATTTAATTTTACCTATACAGTCTAAGACTTATCTGCAGTAACGTGTTAAATAATTTATCTATTTGCGTTCCATGATATTTGTTGAAGATTTAACATATATGTATATGAGAAAGTATAATAAAGTATATGATGCTTATGATCTCCAGTATACTCGAAAAGCAGTAAAGCGTTTTGCACATTTTGTAGATTTCTTTTGCGCAGTTTTTAGCACCTTTGCCTCGACCACTAGGCATTCCATTAAAATGTATAATATGTACACCGCAAAGCACTTCTTACGTGCCCTAAACGTGTCTTTGACATGCTGTTCTTGAAAAAGTTCGAAACAAACATTTTACTAATGCTGCAGTACATCTGGATATAAGTTAAATTATGAAAAAACGTAATTAAAGGGACAAAAAATAGGATTAAAAACGCCTTTTTAGTGCATGGATTGCTTCTTTTTTAACTTATCTGAGAACAATTGCTATGGGTAAAGCATAAAATGGCAGGTAAATGGCCTTAATCAATATCGAAAAAAAGAATCATATTCACCGTCCACTTTCGAACCCCGGGCGTCAGCCATCTTGACACAGTTTGAAATAACGCGGCTTCTCGACTCAGATACGAGATGTAAACAATGCAGACAGCATGTCGTTTCGAAGGTGAGCGTGGACGTGAAGGAGAAGAGGAATTGCTCACCGAATCTTTGCAGGTAAGCGAGTTATATTTACCAAAAGTACTTTAAAATGGGAAGATGGCAGTGGAAATCAAAATGTCTGGCAGAGGAAGTTAAAAAGCGTAGATAACTGCTAATAATTAACGTTTCCTCGGGTAACGCACTCGCAGCCAAATCACTCGCACTGGGTACGTACTACTAGTTATATGAAGCGAGATAGTGCACTTTACCCCTGAGGTGTATAGTTCTGTAAAGCAGGAGGAATACCCTTTTCTGCTCAATGTGGTCATCTACCAGTACTTACAGACTAACCTCACACCATATTCTCGCAGGGGAATCCCATGAGATATACAATGTAACTCGAGTACTAGTGGGGTTAGAGGGTGTTCTTTGTACGGCACGTAACTACGTTAGCTTATTTGTAAATTTAATAATATTGTCAATGAATATGATTATAAGGAATGATTTTTTAGCCTTTCAGAGGAGGAATTGGGTGATACACCCCTTCAAGCACGAGTGAAGAGATCAGGTATGTTAATAATTTTAGCAGTATAACATGGGCGGATCCAGGATTATTTGAAAGGGGGGGGGGNTATTTCAGCCTTCATTGTTTCCAGTTAATAAAGATTGGAAATCAAATAGTGTCCATCTTATCTACATTATTTAGTACATAATATGCCAGCGAGGTCAAGATTCATCATATCTAATATCTTGAAAGTAGATTTGCATTTTATATTGAAGGGTCTTGGGTTGTTAATATTTTTTTATCATAGCATAATTTGCACAAAGCTCTAGCCTTAGTCTACTCAAATAGTTTTTGGAACCAGTGCTCAAAATAAGCTCACAAGGACAGTGACGTCCTTGCACAATGCTAATGTATGCATATTATTTACCTTGCATGGCAGTCGAGCCTCCCTGTGGAACATAAGGAAAAATGGTGAGTATCCCGTGGCGCAGTGTGGTGCTATCCGATAGGCGAAAGTCACTGGCTCTAAATATCGTTCCCAGTCATCTTGTCGCTCACTTATGACTTTGGATAGTGTCGCCTTCAGTGTTTGATTAAAACGCTCGTCTAAGCCATTAGTCTGAGGGTGGTATGCGGCAGTCATCTTATGTTTTATACCCCACTCCTTGAGAAGGTCATCTACCAGCTACAGAAAAATATTTTATGTAAAAATGGGTATTTATGTATTTGTGCAATTCAATTTTTGCATTGGGCGATGTTAGGCTTATCTTTCCAAATACCTCATTTC